CAATAAACGAGCACATGCTCCTTTTGAACTGGTTCATTCTGATGTTTGGGGTGCTTGCCCTGTTGTGTCCAAATCTGGTTTTAAATATTTTGTTACCTTTGTTGATGATTATTCTCGTATGACTTGGATTTATTTCATGAAACGTCATTCCGAGTTATTTTCTCATTTTTGTGCCTTTTGTGCTGAAATCAAAACTCAATTTAATGTACATGTTCGTATTTTAAGGGGAGACAATGCTCAAGAGTATTTGTCTGCCTCATTTAAGTTGTATATGGCTCAACATGGCATAATTCATCAAACTTCATGTGTAGACACACCTCCCCAAAATGGAGTTGCTGAACGAAAGAACAGACATCTATTAGAAACTGCGCGGGCTCTTCTATTCCAAATGAATGTGCCAAAACATTTTTGGGCAGATGCTGTGTCTACCGCATGTTTTTTGATCAATCGAATGCCATCTACTGTTTTAGATGGTAAAACTCCATATCAGTGCCTATTTCCAAATAATGAAAATTTTCCTATTCCTCCTAAAGTTTTTGGTTGCACTTGTTTTGTACGAGATGTTAATCCCCATTTAACAAAGTTAGATCCCAAGTCATTAAAGTGCATTTTCTTAGGCTACTCTCGAGTTCAAAAGGGGTACAGATGTTTTTCTCCAAGTACAGGTCGGTATATTGTTTCAATTGATGTCTCCTTTTATGAAAATACACCATTTTCATCAACAGACACAAATATCTGTAGGGAGAATGATGATATACTCATTTACACAGTCACTATACCAGAGTCCAATACTTCAGCAGTTCTTCCCCATGTTACTTTTCCTGAGCCTAGGCCTCCGATACACTTGGTATACACCCGTCGACACAAAGTGCAAGATCACCCTCCACCTGTGGTTACTTCTCCTGATACTGATCCGATCTCATATCCTGAACCGACACCTGCATCTTCAGATCCTGTCTCTACATCAGATCTTGATCTCCCCATCGCACTACGTAAAGGTACACGGTCTTGTACTCATCCTATTTCTTCATGTGTGTCGTATAATCAGTTATCATCTGCCTCATGTTCTTTTATTGCTTCCATTGATTCTATTTCTGTTCCCAAATCTGTTAAAGATGCTTTGTCTCATCCTGATTGGCGTCATGCCATGGTAGAGGAAATGAATGCTTTGGATCTTAATGGTACCTGGGATTTGGCAGACTTGCCTACAGGGAAGAAGTCTATAGGATGTAAGTGGGTCTTTGCTGTAAAGGTTAACCCTGACGGATCCGTTGCTCGATTGAAAGCCCGATTAGTTGCGAAGGGTTATGCTCAAACCTATGGCGTTGATTATTCTGACACATTTTCTCCTGTTGCTAAATTAACATCTGTCAGATTACTTATTTCTCTCGCAGCAACTCATGGTTGGCACTTACATCAATTGGACATTAAGAATGCATTCTTGCATGGTGATCTTCAGGAGGAAGTTTATATTGAGCAACCTCCGGGGTTTGTTGCTCAGGGGGAGTATGGGAAAGTTTGTCGACTTCGCAAGTCTCTTTATGGTTTGAAACAGAGTCCCCGTGCATGGTTCGGGAAATTCAGCCAATCAATTGAACGATTTGGGATGATAAAAGGCAAATCAGATCACTCTGTATTTTACAGACAAACGAAAACAGGTATTACATTGCTTGTGGTGTATGTCGATGACATTGTGATTACAGGGAGTGATAATACAGGTATTTTGGCCCTAAAGAATTTTCTTCATAGTCAATTCCAGACGAAAGATTTGGGCTCATTGAAATACTTCTTGGGAATTGAGGTTACACGGAGTAAGAAAGACATATTTCTATCTCAACGTAAATATGTGTTTGACTTACTAACTGAAACAGGGAAATTGGGGGCAAAACTAAGCAGTACTCCCATGATTCCCAATGTACAACTCACTCATGAAGGTATGCCATTCGAAGATCCGGAAAGATATAGACGGTTGGTTGGAAAACTTAATTATCTCTCAGTTACCCGTCCAGATATTGCATACTCAGTGAGTGTAGTAAGTCAATACATGTCATCTCCGAAAGTGGATCATTGGAATGCTGTAGAGCATATATTATGTTACTTGAAGGGGACACCGGGACGAGGTATTGTTTATCAGAATCATAATCACATGAGAATAGAATGCTTTGCAGATGCTGATTGGGCTGGATCTAAAGATGATAGAAGATCCACATCTGGCTATTGCGTCTTTGTTGGTGGTAATCTCGTCTCTTGGAAAAGTAAGAAGCAGAATGTGGTTTCTCGTTCGAGTGCTGAATCAGAATATCGGGCTATGGCACAATCGGCATGTGAGATAATCTGGATAAACCATTTATTGAGTGAAATGGGATTGAAGACACCAATGCCTGCTAAACTCTGGTGCGATAACCAAGCTGCTATACACATTGCCAACAATCCAGTGTTTCATGAGAGAACAAAACATATTGAGATCGATTGTCACTTTGTTCGAGAAAAGATACAACAAGGATTGATCTCTACAGGACATGTGAAGACTGGAGAGCAACTTGGAGATTTGTTCACTAAAGCACTAAATGGAATTCGTGTTGGTTACTTATGTAACAAGTTGGGCATGATAAATATTTATGCTCCAACTTGAGGAGGAGTGTGAAAGACATTATAGAATATTCTTTAGAATATGTTTTAGAATATTCTTCTATCTTTAGAATATGCTTTAGAATATTTTAGGAATATATACTCTAGGATATTATTATTGTATAGAATCTTAAAGGAATATTCTATCTTTGTAATGTATATATATATGGGCTTGACCCTCCAATGAAATACACACAAAAATCATTCTTCTCATTACTATTCTATCTTTAATTCTTACAACAGTTTGGATCCTTCTCACAAAGTCCTGATTTACCATACACTCTGGTATAGTAAGATTATCAATACCTTACATTTTATTCCCATTGAACAAGGTATCAAAGTATGACCTCCACCTATCTTTTATTTCCTCGTTACCTTGAAAATCAAGCACACACATCTTATGCTGAGTGACAACACTCTCAATAACCTTACAATCAGTGTAGCTAATTATCTAAGTCGTTCATACTAAAAAATAGTCAATTTGGGTACTATTTGCTCCACTTCTATAGGTTACAAGACTTTCTTTTCTTGAACCAACTCATATGTCAAGGCAAAATCCAGAATGTTCTCCCCCACTTCATTTCTAGTGCCAAAACTATGTCCGCCATGGATACTCTCAAAACCATCACGACTTAGGCCCACATGCCCATTGAGGTCGCCTCCTACGACCAATTTCTCTCCCTTTGGCACCAATTCCTCAAGATCTTCCCAAAATTGTTGAGAGATAGATGCATCAAATCCCACTTGTGGTGCATAGGCTATTACCAACTCCTATTACCAACTTAATGCTCATGATGCGGTCGTTCTTCTTAAAGACTTCCACCACACCTTCAACATAATCATGTGCCACCATAATGCCTACTCCATTTTTGTTCTTCTCTCTCCCCGAATACCACAACTTAAAACCTCCAGGATTAATCTCACATGCTTTTTCTCCAACCCACTTAGTTCATGTACGCACATTATGCTGATATTCCTCCACATAACCTTGACAACTTAGCATGTAAGAGAGCCAACATTCCACGTCCTAAAACGCAATCTAGCACCTTGTCTTCTCTTCTTCACACCACATCAACCCCCACCATGCCCTTACATATTTGACACCATCCTCGGACATTGGAGTGGTGTGTTGCTTCCGAATGACGACCTAACAACATTAGCATTCTTATCAGCACACTCAGGCTTATGAAGTGTCGCATGCCCTTGCATATTTGACACCACCCCCAGGCGGAGGGATGAAGCGTCGCTTACGGGCGATGATCTAGCTATTGCGATATTCATATTTCAATTCATGTGCTGTGATGTGACTATGTGATACTATTGGCCGTCACGCGTCTACCATAACGCCCTCCTCTTTATCCTTGCTTGGGACAGGCATGATACCAAAAATGATTTCATGACAGAGTTTTTTATTGTAGTTTCTAAATATGTAAATTTTAATATTAATAAGTGAAAGTTAACTTTATCATGAGTAAAACATTGTAAACCGAAAGAGTGACTTCATGTGGACAGAGGCCGTACAAGCTCAAGGCTTAAGCTAATTTGAGATATTTTGTCAACCAATTGGGTATGCAGAAAAAGATCTTTATATTTATTTACGCCTTCATCCCTGAAAACCCTTTCCTTTTTCTTGCATCCCAAAATGAGGTTCCTCTTTCCTTTAAAATAAGAAATGTACGGTCCAATTTTATTCCTTCTTCCCTTGCTTAATTGTTGACTAAGTTTTTCTGTTTTGAATAAGTGAGCCAAGTCAAAGGAGGACCCTTTTAAAGGTGGATGGAGTATAATATAACAAACTACCTACGATTATCATTTTTTTAACAATGACAGCAGGCCATTGTTCTGTCAGCTTGCTCCAATCCAATTCACCCACATCAAACATGTAGGTATCAAACCTCAAACTTACCTTAAGGAATCCCTAACCTTGCCTGAGGTTAGAGATCTCTAACCTCGCACTACTCATGAATACTGCCTGGGGTAGAAAAGAATAATCCCAGAGTGATGGTGATAGAGAGCAAATGTATTTTTTTGCAATCGCCAGACTGAAGTGTAATAGACAATATTCGTATGCTTAGTATGATTCTACTCATATTGTGTTCGGTAACATCCCAATCCACCCACACAAGACTGCTTTCATATTACAGCATTTAGAGCAAGATAGTATAAGAAGTAACAAATGAATTGGATGCTTGTCACCTTGTTAAGCAACTGATTTCTTTTGCTAAAGTCGCCTTTAAGAAGAAAAAATAACCTCCAGCCATTTTTTCCCACTAACTTGTGAAAATTCGCCTCCTCAAAAAAACTTGTGTAAATTTGCAAACCGGAATGACTTCTACAGAAGGCTGCCAATTGATTTTTCTAGATACTTTCAGGGTGCATTGGCAGCTATTAGGAGTGGTTGTTTGCCTTCACCCGGAAGCATGCCATCATTTGAAGAAATGAAAGACATACTCGGTTTTAACGTGTACTATGAAGAAGAGGAACGCTATGCATTAAGCACCAGCCATCTCTCTTCCCAGAGAGGTTAGTGTTTTTTTGCATCGACAACCTCTGCCTTGTTCATTTTCCAAATATCTTCTTCTCTTAATATTATTATTGTTGTTGTTGTTATTGTCACTCCGCCTTGTTGTTGTCACATTAATCTAGTTTAGTGCGAGTAATAACACGAGTCTTTGATTCGAATAAAATGAGCTTGCAGTTTCAATTTATCCATCTGCATCAAGTATAGAACTCAGTTTTTGATATCATAATACCAGGTTATTCTACATCAGACAACTGTGACTATGGCTCTTCACACAATTTCCAAGATGACACAGAAATGATAAGTCAGAGACTGCAAGATGAGGTGGTTGAAGTATTAACTCCTGAAGTATCTCATTCCTATAATAATGGAGATAGTACAGGAGGATCTTTCTCGAGGATGTGGTCTCGAAAGTTGAGGGTTAAAATTTCAGGAAGAGATGGGTTTGACAAACTGGATATAAGAATTCCTGTAAGTCATACTTCTTTTGGCTATTGCCTTTATGGAAGAAAACGAAAACAATAGAACTATAGAAGACCTTGTTTAAATCATAAATACAATGTTTTTCCGAGTTGTCAATACTGCTAGTTGCAAGTTGACTAATACTACCTACTAACAAAACTAGTCTTTGTTTTTAATAGTAAAATAGCACGAGTTATTAACAAATACCCCTGAACGTAGCTCAATCCATGCTTTGACCCTTTGAGCATCTATTTGTATCCCTCTCGAAGGTCTGGGGGCACCATCCAGTTCCCATCCATCATTGACAAAGTGTCTCACCGAGTCACTGCTTACTACCAAAGTTGTGAAAAGTGTACACTGACATATACGGACACACTTCCCACAATTATAGTGGAGGCCGTGTCACATTGCTGGTGCAGTGCATCAATTCTGTTGCCCTGCCCACCTCTGTTGTGTTTAACATTTTTACATGGAGAGGCATCTGCTTAAAAAAATGTACATGCTAACTTTCACCCTTTTGCACTGGGCAGTCTGCCAATTTAATGGTGGGATTTGAGGGCCCCCATGGTGCGCTCAGTAGACCGTTTTAGGGGTAAACCATTTTTAGTATGTAATACTGAATAGTCATGAATTATTATACTCCCTCCGTCCCATATTTATCTTCATAGTTACTATTCACATGGTCAACTCAAATTACTCTTAATCTTTTACTTTATATATCAAATTTTTATCAAACTTACATTTTCTTGATCAGACTTTGTAGCGGATTTAATGTAGTTTCTGAATATGTAAATTTAATTTACTAAAAATAATTTGAGTGTGAACATGGATCTAATTGCTTTATCGTCAGTCAAGCATCGTAAACTGAACTACGAAGATAAATATGGAACGGAGGGAGTACTTATTTAGACCATCGTTGAGGTCTCTAAGACTTCATGTTAGCCGGTCCCGAACTCTTTTGGTATTAAGGCTTGAATGTTGTTTTTGTTGAGACCTCTAAGGCGGAAATATTATGTTATACTCATGAGTTAGTTGTATTTATTAAGGTGGTTGTTGAGGCGTATTAAGATCAAAATGCTCGTTGGAGTCTCATTGACCTTGATGCCATTATAAGATTTGGGTTTCATCCAAATGTCAATTTGATAGATGGAGTAACCCAAATGTCAGCCATTATTTTACTTTGTATTGTTATATGTGTGAGATGACAACAATACTTATCATCTAACCTTTATCCCCTTGTTTTTAAGGCTGCATTTTTGGAAGGAATCACAAACATAGTGCCAGGTATTCTCTGGACGTCCCATTCACACCACCAGTTCTATCATTGTTCATTTTCTTATATATTCGGGGTATTCTTTTGTATATGCAGCACTAGTGGGGGTGAACCTGAAAGAGCTTTTGGACAATACATGCTTTGATGATGGAGGGAAGCAGTTGCTAGATTTCAAGGACACCATGGGAGACAGGATTCAAGTTTTCTTGGAGTAAACAAACCGTGTAAATATGGGTTGAGGCCCCATCTCCCCACTCCACCTGAGTTCAAACCTCACGCCCAACAAAATGAAGAAACAACAATGAAGAATACTAGACAATGAAAAATCTATTCTAACTATAGAGAGATTGATATTTGAAATGACAGCTAATACCTGAAATGGATCTTGACTATTGTGACAGTATCCAGTTTAGTTCCAAACTTTTTACGTAGTACTCCCTCCGTCCCGAAAAGGTTGACCAAAGTTGACTTTCACGTGGATTAATAAACTAAAAACTGTGTGGTTGAAATTTGTGCAGAGGAGAGAGAATTAACTTTAGTCACATATTCCTTTTTTAAATGGAAATGACAAATCTTTTTGGGACATCCAAAAAAGGAAATTTGGCCAACCTTTTCGGGACGGAGGGAGTATTAGACTATCAGTTAGATTTGATTATGATTCATGACCTTTGATTTATTTACCTAGCTTAGTCTTTTTTTTTACCCCGGAAGGCAAACCACCAAAATCAGTGGGGTAAATGTCGGGGGACATTTACCAAATTTTATTAATAATGAAGCAGATACAAACCGAGAGGGGAGTCAGACCAAAACCTCTGAAAGTAGACAAACGTGTGAAAAGAAAAAGGAACAATTAGGATGATAAAATCAAACCCAAAAAAATCAAATCAATAAGTAAATCTGAAATGAGGAAGCCCAAATAAATCCATAAAATACACATTTTTCACTCGGGCCTAGGAGTGGACTCGGGCCGGGCCAACCGGCCTGGAACCGGATTGGCCCGCTACTGTGCGGTCCTGGACCGGCCCGGTGAACCGGTTGGTGCCCGGTTTGGGCCACCGGCCCGGTGAGGTAGGTGGACCGGGCCCGGGCCTCCTAAATCGTGAACCGGCCCGGCCGGTTCGAGCCCGGTCTGGGCCAATTTTTTTTCTTTATTTTTTTGAATTTTTTTAAAATTTTTGGGTTGTGTTGGGTATGATGGGCCATTTGAGGTGGTTTGGGGTGGTTTGGGAGTGAGGGGGGAGGGTTGAGGGTTAATTAGGAAAAGCCAAAAAAAATACAAGAATCGAGGCTCGGCCCGGACCGGACCTGGAGTTACCCGGCCCGGATCAGACCCGGGGCTACCTGGGCCGGTTCCGGGCCGGTTGGCCCAGCCCGAGTCCACTCCTACATCCTGGAGGACCTGGAACCTCTTCCTTCCCACTATCTCCTTGGTTTCTGATCTAGGAGCTTCATTTCTTTCACTTTCATTATCACATCTTTCACAGCAAACAGGAGCAGAAACTGGGTATAAAAATTCCCTGGAATTACACTTGAAGCCTCTTCCTTGTAACCCATCTCTTCATATAATGGTTCAAAGGTCGACATGCTATGAGTTGCAGCTCTAAATGGATCAAAGAACAGACCAGTTGGAACTCTTACAAGAACACACATGCCTATTTCAACCGGTTGAACAATTCTCCTCTTCCCAGTAATTCCTTCTTGTAGTATTTCTTTGATAATCCCATCTATATCCTCTTTTTAGCCTTGTGGGTATCTACAAAACTTCAGGTTAGGTACTTCTGCTCCCTCTTCAATGTTAATAGCATGGTCACACTTTCTAGGAGGAGGTAATCCTAGTTTGGGAGTAAACATCTTAGAAAATTCTACCATAATTCCTTCCCAATTGGAATCCTTCAACTGATTTCCCTCTCCCTCCATTTTACTGTCTTCCCAGTAGATAAGATAGCCATCACCAGCATTCTGTACAATTTGTGACCTGGTCTTCAGAGATACTTCCATAGATTTTGACTTAGGGTCCCCATGAATAGCCTGACTTAACCCCAGCTGATTCCACTTTATGCCTTGCTTCTGAAAATTGATCTCCACATCCCCCAATCCAGTCAACCAATCCATGCCTAAAACCAAGTCAGCTCCCTCCAACTCCAGCATGTAGAAATCTTGTTGAATGACAGCTCACTGCAAGCTCAGAATTAATTGTTCACACCTGCCCTTGTTGAAGACCTTATCACCATTCCCAAGCTGCACTTTGTATCCATCAATGGTCTGATAAGGGAGAGTTAACTGCTCTACCATTTCCTGAGATATGAAGTTGTGTGAGGCTCCACTATCAATTAGAACATCTACAGGCTTCTCTCCCTTGGCCTATTTCAGAATTCCTTGTACCCTAAAAGCCCTCATAGAGGGTGTTTCTTTCTGGTTCATGAAGGATAATTGCATGGACTTAGATTCCATGGTGATCTTTTCATCTTCAGGGATTACCCCTTCTGAGTTATCTAATTCCTCTTCTCCCTCAGAATCTTCCACTAAAATCAGTTTGTAATTCTTCATTTTGCATGAGTGCTCTCTTCCCCATCTTTCACCGCATTTGAAACAAAGCCCCTTCCAGCTTCTATCTTGGTATTCTTCCTGTGTCAGGTTTGGCCCCACTCTTCTTATGTCTGCGGGATTTATTTATGTTTCCTTCTTCCCATCAGGAGTAAACTAAGGTTGATTTCCCTTGTGGTCTGCAGTATTTCTACCATTGTTACAATACCCTGAACTGCTTGCCTTGGATCTATACCCTTCTCCCCAGGCTGTTGCCTTATGATTCACAGCTCCCTTTTCCTTCCCAATAGTTTTCTCTTCAACCTTGCCCTTCTCATAGACAACATCATTTTTCTGTTCTATCAAAAGAGCCCTATCCATAATGGCAGACAAGGATCTGGAGCTGCATAGTTTCAGCTCAGCCTTGACCTCATCCTTGAGACCGTTAATGAAGATGCCTCTCAATATTCCCCTGTCAATCTCCCTTTGAGGAGCCATCACCATTTCGAATTCCTCCCTGTAATCTGCCACAGTTCCTGTTTGTTTCAAGCTCACCATTGGGCCATAGGGGTTCTGTATTATGTCCGGTTGGAACCTGCGAATCAATGCATCCTTCAGGTTTTCCTAGGTTCTCTCTTCCGCCGGGTGTTCCCACCATTGGAACCAATTCAACGCTTTATCCTCCATTGCCACAACAGATACTTCCACCCTATCCTCTTCTTCAATATTGTTCAGTCTGTAATAATGCTCCATTTTCACGATCCAATTGTATGCACCCTACCCATTAAACATAGGTAAATTCACCTTCATCCCCGTTTGAACCTGACGCCTGTGGATGGGAGAATGTACGGAGTTACCTCTGGAGTGAGTGGGTGATAGCGAACGACGATGGTGAGGGGATCACGATCTCCCCCCGACATGGCCGTTTCTGTTCTGATGAGCCGCTATCGAAGCCGCGATGCTCGTCTGAATCTGATCGTTGATCGTTGCCATGAAATTTGTCATCGACGCCCTCATCTCTTGCTCAACGGCCTCCATACGTTGCTCCATTCTGAATCTCGTTTTTACCATCCACTTCAGAAACGAGAACTATATTGCAGTCGCTACCTCACAACGATCCCAGGAGCAATTGCTTTGATACCAATGTTAGGTACCTGGCACACATATGAGCAATACAATAAACTAACAAACACAAATCTAATGAATGATAGGGAGTGTTTATTGATGGAAGGAGATAAACCGTAGGCTACAGGGACTTCTTAGGCAACCGGGACTTAGGCAACAAGGCAACAATTCTCAAAATAACAGTCTACCCATTATTAGCGATGCAATTTACTATTTATAGTAGTAGGTCCACGCAGAGACTAAAATAGAAAAACAGACTCATTAAATGACCTCAGCCCACTTAATTGACCTCAGCGCATTTTATTTTCTCCTATCAAATACCCTATTAAAATACTTAAACAGGCAGATTCCTAACATCGGGCCACTAGCATCTCTCAAAATCTCCCCTCCCGACGCACGTTGAGAAGAGTAACTGGCATCGGTGTTCAACTTGAGTGATTTATATGGCTTTCTCCAGCAGGTAACCAAAATCAAAGGCTTGGCTAATCGAAACGAACTTGGTATGAGTTTCTCCTCATACAACATTTCATCTACTTGAAGTAATTTTCTCGTAGATAGAGTAGTTACCCAGGTTTGAGTGTAAAGTTTAATCTGAGTAATCAAATTATCTAGAGTAGCAACAGAGTCCCCAGATCCCCAAATCTGATTCGCATAGATTTTCCATATATGCCAACAAATAATTCCAGGAAGATTATTTTTAAAAACATCTTCAAGCCTCTCAGAGCCTGCCTTAATCCACCACGACATACAAACCTGTCTGATAGAAATAGAATGACCAAAGGGAATTCCAAAAATTCCCATGAAGTAAGACCAAACAGGTTTGACTTTAGCACAATGAAGGAAAACATGATCTGTGGAGTCAGAATCAGCTTTACAAAGAGGACAAATGGAGGGGTTTAGTATAGCGTGGAACCTATGTAGGTTATATGTAATAGGAAGAATGCCTTTAAGGAGTCTCCATTGAAAGAGTCTTATTTTCAGAGGTATAGAATTCTGCCAAGCCTGTTTAAGAGAAAAAGAACTAGGAAGTTCCTCCCTTACAGCCTCATAAGCTGATCTGAAAGTGAATCTGTCATCAAGTTCTGGTTCCCAATGAAATGATCCATCAGAATTTAGGCCACACAAAGAATTAGCTAACTCATCAATAGAACAGAGTCTTCTCCATATAGGAGAATCTGTAATCTTAGCTTCCATATTTAGACCTCTTGGGTATCTAGCCTTGATGAAGTGCACCCAAGTAGAACTGGTTGACTTCCATTTCCACCAAAGCTTTAGAGTAAAGGCTTTCTCAATGTCAGAAAGATTCCTAATTCCCAGACCCCCTTCTTCTGTTGGATAGCACAACTTGTTCCATTTAGAGGAGCCCTGTAAGAAAGCAACCGTCTTTCTTTCTAAAATATGAATGACTTTCTTAGGAAGTCTATCTGCAGCTAAGACATGTAAAGGAACTGTGTTTAATACATGCCTAATTAAAATAAGTCTCCCTCCCATTGATAAATTTTTTTGTCTCCATGTTGTAAGCTTTGAGTCAAATTTTCTTATAATATCAGTGCAAAACTGAGCTCTATTAACTTCTTTGTGCAGGGGAACCCCTAAATATTTGACAGGCAGATTTGTTTATTGCATTCCTGTTAGTCCCTGTTTCTGTAACAGCAATGAATAACAATCTAACAACGAAGATTAAACGTAAGGATGAACACAGATTGAATCAAGTAAAACCCTCTTTGATAGACCGTGAACTCGTACAACACAAATATATGCGCGTAAGGCTATGAAGAATAAGTACGACGTTAACCTAATCCTAAACCCTCGACTCCCTTTTTATAGGCGAAGTTTAGGTTAGGCGTACAAGGCTTTTAGCCTGTTTATATGGGCCTAACACTTGGCCCGATTGCTATCTAATTCATGCACTAATTAAATACAAGAATTAAATATAAAGCTAATCTATGACAAACTTGATTCACAATTAAATATCTCCAACAATCTCCCCCTTTGTGATCAAGTGCCACTCTGTTATTGCTTCTGC